AAATGCAACAAGATCCAAGGGATCAATCATATTTCAGGATGACTATTATTCAAGATTTTTATTTTCTTAATTTCTGCTCTATACATAAATAGCCAAATATTTTTTGAAATTATTTAATAAACATTCTTAAATTAGGCCTCATTGTTTATCTTCATACATTAGGAAAAGCACTGTATTATCATTTATTTTGTTTTCTTCTTGAAAAATAATGTTACTATGATGTATTACTCACCATCATAATAGTCAAGATCTGCCTACAGAGCTTCTTCACTAAGAACAGAGAGGATTGCCATGCAATCAGTGAAATAGAAGGGCAAGAACAGTATTTTTAAAAGACAGTATTTTGAATTTGTTGAAGCCAACTAAATCTATAGCAAAATTGTCATTTACATTGCAATTCTATTTATTTTAAAGCAAGTTCCAGGAAATTCAAGATGCTTATTCCTTAATAGACATACACAGGGTCATACTTGTTTACAATTCTATGAACAGAGAATATCCTGTAGAAGAAAGTGTTTTATTTCAAACTAAGGATGCATAGGTTTGGGATGCTGGATTAATAATTTTTCAGAAATTTTTTTGAGCAGTTTAAAGTCTATTACTAGGGAATGCAATATTGTCAGAAGAGAGCAATGTAGAACAAAGGGTTTAAGATGGTTTCATTTCTATATAAAAGACTGAACTGACAGATGGGTTTTTGTATAATCTAGAATTCTACTCATAGCTTCCTTAAGCAAATTAAACAGAAATCATAGAGTTGCTGTCAGAAACCAATGAGAGCAAACCAGAAAGTCACTATAAATTTTGTTTTGCAGTCACATTTAGATCAAATATTAGCAATAAAATTAAGCCAATCAATTTTTAGGCATGAATAAAATTCACTAATTACAAATTATGACCAAAATGAAGATATGGGTACCACTTTTATCAAGAAACTGTGATAATCTTTACACTACTCTTGGGAACCATGTTCTGAAATTATATATGTTCCAGATTTTATATTCGTAAAATATGAATTTTCCTTCTGACAAAATTAGTATTTATGGACAATACATTGCATGCTATAGGCCTCACAATATACTGAAGCCATACATGATCAGCCTTCTAAATACCATTTTCTCTGTCATTTGCCTAAAAGAAAGAAAGCACTAATGTAAAGTAGTCTTAGCATTATATTAGTAAATATTAGCACCATTAGCCACTGGAGAAAATGGTAATATTTGTATTTCGCTACAAATAGCACAGTAAAATAAATAAATAAAAGGAACTCAAAGTTCCCTACACTTTTCTTCAAAGGTCCTTCAAAAGATTAGGGAAATACCTTTTTGATGGGGACTATGGAGGAGAGAAGCTAAGCAGCTTGCTAATTGTTTGTCTTTTGCATTAATCACTATTCATTGGTCAATGTTAATTACTAGCTTAAGTATAATTGTCACACAAAAAGTGAATTTCAGATACAGAGGAGGAAAAACTGTAGAAACATTCAATATAGATACTTAAATCCAAAAAGGAGAGAAGCAAAGCACAAGTTTAAAATCTATGTAATTTCCTGGAGGGAGGCAGGGAAACAGGGAACACTGGAATATTTTGTCCTGTAGCAAGATACTATTAATAGATTTTTTTTTAAAAAAAAACTTTTTTTTGACAGTCCCATCCTCATTTCAATAGGAATACCGTTTTAAAATAATTGGCTCTCCCCTCAGCCTCATTTTTTCGGCGTGTGGAGAAGACGGGTCCCACACGAATCTAGCAAAGGAAACTTGTCCACCATTTTAAAAATAAAAAGTGGAAAGATTAATATGGCAATGCATCTGAACTCACTTCACACTCACACACACACACGAGAGAGAGAGAGAGAGAAAACCGCAAGCAGCTTCAAGGGACCCGTCTTTTCCCTCCCTGAGGAAGATTGCTCTGGGGCTCATTCGCCTTTCCCACAAAATAGCCAATAAAATTAATCAAGCGGAACAAACAGCAGCATCTTTTCCCACCGTAGTAAATAAATAAATATTAATAATAAAAAGCGACCCAGTGAGGGGTTATTATTATTTTTCTTGTCCACGATCTGACGAGAGCCCCTCCCCTTTTTTTAAAGAAAAAAGAAACCTTTTTTTTTTACAAAATTTGTTTTTATTTAATTAATCCAGGCACACGAAGCAGCCCTTATATATCTATATCTATATAAAATGTTGCTGCAGACAAAAAAAAAAAAAAAAGAAGCGCACTGCATGGGGTGTGGAGGACCCGAGCTGATTAGATTACCACAACATCAGCCTTGGGGCCGCCATTTTTAGAATCTCTTAAAAGGACAAAAGAGGGGAGGGGGGGTGTTTTACAAAAAAAAAAACCGTACACTTGTATTGACACTTTTTATTTATTTATTTATTTATTATTATCCATCGTGGTGGTGATGATGATGATGGCGGTGATGGGTTATTCGTATTTTTGTTTTAACCCCGAGTCTCTTGAGGAGAAGCGCGCCCTCCCGACCCTGCTTCCCCCCCCCCCAACAAACACACCCCCACCCGTTCTTTGGCGGGCCCCGCTTTATCCGCTCGGATCTCGGTTGTGGGAGGGGGGGGAGGGTTTGTTTGTCTCCACCCCCCCACCCGTTAAGGGGAGGGGGCCAAAGGAGGGGGAAGGGGGCGCGCGCTCCGCTCTTTTGACGGGCAACCGAAACAAAACTGAGGCGAAAGAGGCAGCCAGAGGCGTTTGCAGCAACCGCTTTGGAGAGACACCTTCCAGCCGTTTCCCCCCCCCCCCCCCCCCGGGAGAAGGACTCTTGAGGAGACCGGGACTTCGGGCGCCTCGCTCCGCCGACCGTTTGTTTCTTCTCTCCCGCCTCCCTCCGGTTCTGCAGCAGGAGCGACCCCCTCTCTCCCTTCAACTCTTCCCCGGGGCAAGAGGCTTTTCTCGTTCGTCCTCTTGCTTCGCCTTCTCCTCCGCGCCCTTCCCTCCTGAAAGGGAAGAGCGGTCCTCCTTCGCCCGCGCCCGGAGGCGGCTATAAATAAATTATAATAATTTAAAAAAAAAAAAAGCCTCCTCGTCCGCTTCCCATCGCCTCACAACGAAGCGGGGACGGGCTCGCTTTCCCAAGCCAAGTCCCGAGAACTGTTTGGCCCGGAGCGGAGGAGGATTAAGTTAGGCCCCTCTCTCAGGCGGACCGGGAGAAAAAGGAGGCAGGTTTGAAGGGAACGACGACGAAGAACAGCCGCCCTTCTTTCCCCTCACAAAAGTCGGCGTTGAGGGGCTTCCTTACGAGCCTGTCAGAAAAGCCCTTTTTTATTAATCCCTCAGGGTCAAGTGAGGGGGGGGGTTTCTCCCCCTGCGGCCCCGTCACCCCCCCCATTCCCCAAAATAATAATAATAATATGATGATGATGAAGCCCGTCGCGAAAAAACTGCCATGAAGGACAAATCTCCGCCGCTTTACAATAAAACGCGCCATATTCGCAAGACGGGAGGCTGTTTTAAAAGGTGACACCCTCCCCCTTCACACACACACATTACGAGGAGGACGCAAAAGCTAGGAGTTTAATAATAATAATAAATAATAATAATATAATAAAAGGCCCTTGTTAAGAAAGGGTCTCTCCCCAGACGGACGCGCCACCCCCACCCGCCATCCCCGGAGGGCGGCGATGCTCTGCTGCCGCTGCTGCTGCCCTTCTTCGGGGAAAGAAGAGACGCTCCCTCTGCCTCTCTTTCCCCCCCCCCCCCCCCCGGGCATGACAACCGCACCATAACAAATAGTGGCGGCGGCGGCGGCCCCAAACTCACCTGGAATGATCACCGGCCAGGCAGCGGCACCCCGACCCGAGCCCCTGGCTTGGCCCCGCCACCACAATGCAACCGTCCCGCTGCGGAGGTCCCGCGGGTAAGAGCGAGCGAGCGAGCGAGCGAGAGGCTGCGGGGAGAGGAGGAGAAGGAGGAGGAGGGTCGAAGGCAGCTACCCCCCCGAGCTGGCTGGCTTGGCTTGGCTTTGGCTGCAACAGGGCCCCGCTGCGAACCGCTTCGGACCTCTGGACCACCCTTTGGTTGCCCCCCTTTGCCGCCGCCGCTGCTGCTGCTCCTCTGGCTCCCGTGTCTCCCTCCTCGCAGCCGCCTACGCTCCTTCCGATGTCACTGCCTCCCTCTCTCTCTCTCTCTCTCTTGCTCGCTCGCTCACTCTCTCTCTCTCTGGGAAAATGGCGTCGCCTCTCCCCCCCCCTTCCCCCGTTTCCAGCTGCCGTACGGGTTCGTCCACCCCGCCTGGCAGGGGCAGGGTTACCAGGGCGAAGCCAAACAGCCGCCATTTTCCTTGTGGGCTTGCAAGCTGGCAAGGGGATGCCCCTTGAAAGCGAGCCGTGGCGGATGGGTCCGTGTGGAGATGGAAAGGGGATGGATGGGTTGGGGGGGGGCGACGAAAGCCTCTCCTGGGGAAGAGGGGTGATGGTGAGAGAGGAACGCGGGCCCCCCCTCTCAGGGTGCCGCCTGAGGGGAGAGAAAATGGAGGAGGGGGGGTGAAGGAAGAGGAGGGAGGGAGTGAGGGGGGGGCTATTGTGCGAAGAGGCCGGGCCGGAGGGTTTGAAAAAGAGCCGCTTTGTTTGGGTTGCGTTGGTGGTTGATGCGGGGTGGGTGGGTGAGAGAAACGGGACGACGGCGCTATCTTTAGCTTCCCTCAGCCGGCGTGGGAGGCACGGGGCCCGGCGGATCCCCGGGTGAGGGATAGAAGGAAGGAGGCCTGATTGGCTGACAAAAAGTGTCCGCGGAGGAGCCGAGGACGCGCCTATCCCCGACCCTGCTTAGCGCCTTTCTTCTTCCTAAAACCAGGGACCGCTCCGCTCTCGCAAGGCGCAGGGGCTTCCCATCCCGCTCCCTCCGTCGGGACTGAGGAAGACGCACCGAGCTTCTCTTCAAGGGGTTATTTAAGGGGGGGGGAAGAAGAGCGGCTGACAGAAAAAGCGTCTGGGGGGGGAGAGACATAGGATGTGGGGGTTCGCCTTGGCGCCTCGACACCCCTCGGCTTCCGCGGGCGCCGCCGCCGGCCCCAGACAAGCGCCTCCGTCTTTGCGGCTGCGGAGCTTGGGAGGGGAGGCCGGCTGGGGTTTTCATTCGACGCCCACCAGGGGCTGAGTGAGCCTCCTTTCAGTGCGCAAACTCGGGGCACCAGATAAAAGCCGGGCTGGCGGCTCCGGCGCTGCTTTGATGGAGCCGGGAGAACCGAGGGGAGGAAGGAGAAGGAACTGATGGGCAGGCTAGAGTAGCTCGCTTTTCCCCTCAGCGGGGCTTCCCCGTCGGAGCAGCAGCAGCAGGAGGAGGAGGAAGCGGCGGGAGAGGCTTTGCTGGCTGCCCGGCCGGGACTCAGAGGCGGCGGCTGTAATAGGGCGCTGGGTACGCAGAGGGGGGTGAAAGAAGGGCGGGCGATTAAATGTCTTGTGAGTGTATCTATGGATGTTTTTTGCCTCCCCTCCCGTTGTCTGGTCCCGCTGGCTATTTTATTTTTTTTGGTCTGGGAAGGGGGGGGTGTTTTTCTCAGCACGAAATGGCGGCGGCTGACGAGCGTCTTGTGTGTCGGCGGCGCGTGTGGCGTTTTTAACGTTCTCCCTGCCCTTCCCGCCTCCTTTTTTCCTGCCGGGCCTTTTCTCCGCAGCGAACCGCGGCGAGCAACCCTCAGTCAAGGGGCGGGGCCCGAAAGAGGGGGGGGAGGTAGCCGGAAGAGCGGCAGCCAATCGGCTTGTAAGGACGCCCCGAAGAGGCGCGTCCCGATTGGCAGATGCTGACATCATCCTGCAGCAGGGCCAGACGCCTCCGCTTGGGTAGGGCCGAGGGAGGGGGGGGGAAAGAACGGTCGGGGGGTTTGGCCGCTGGCGCAAAGGGAAGAGAAGAAAACGGGCGCCATGACAGCAAGGGAGGGGAAGCGGAGCGGCGCCGGGCAGAAGCAGCCGCGTTGGGTCGTCCGCTGGCGGTTCTAATTCCCCTTCCCTCTCCCCCCCCCCCACGCCAACTTTTGTTCCTTTGGCGGGTGGGGAAAGGAGAACGGAGGGGGCGTTTGTGGCGGCGGTTTTTTTTTTTCCGAGCGGTTAGTTAGCCGTAACTGCGTCAATCCAAGATGGCGGAACGTCTCCCTGGAGAGGCGAAGGGCGCTGCTGCTACTGCACGTCGGCCGGAGGTCACGTGACGAGGCGGTTGCATTCTTCCGACGGCTTGGCTGCGCCCCAGCTCGCTCCGGAAAAGGCGGCGCCGGCTGCAAACAGCAGCAGCAGCAGCAGCAGCGAGCTTGGCTGGGCTGCCCGGCTCTCCCTTTCAAGGCGGTGGAGCGATGGAGCCTTTGCCCCCCCCCCTTTCACCCCCCTCCACTTAACCCCCGGCCCTCTTTAGCGTGCGCGGCTGTGCCGAGAAACCGCCACCCCCCCCTCCGCTTGCGCCGTAAGGTGCGTCCAGGAAGCGGCTGTTCCTCCCTCCCCACCCCCACCCCCCCGGTCCGCTCGCATCCTCCTCTGGCTCTGGTGCCTTTCCGCGGCGGGAGGAGCGACAGCCCGCCCGGATGGAAGGGAGTTGCAGGCTGGAAGAGCCAAGCCTCGGCGGGTGTGTTTGTGGGTGCAGAATAGGGCGTTTGGGGTGTGTGTGAGTGAAAAGAAGGCTGCTGCAAAGGGCCGTAGGAGCAGTCGGTTTTTTAAAGGTCTTTGGCAAGAGAAAGCAGCTCAAAGATGGTAGCATTTTCCTTAGTACTGGGAACTGCATTGTCCGATCTTGGAATATATATATATATATTTCCCCCCCCCCCCCCCCCCCCCGGTCTTTAATGGATTCGTTGCATCGGAAACCCAGGCCTTGGCACCGCTTTGGGCTGGAGATTGGAAGCAGGAAATTGGTAGCTGCCATCTAGGTCTGTGCATCCGCCCTGTACCAAAAGGGCCTTTGTTGTTTTGCAAGAGGACCGAAAGTAAATCGGCTGCAAAAAATACCCGTGTTTCCCCGAAAATAAGACCCCGTCTTATTTTATTTTTTTATTTTTTTTTGAACCCTGAAATAAGCGCTTGGCCTTATTGCCATGCGCTTTTTCAAAAGCCATATTGGGCTTATTATCAAGGGATGTCTTATTTTGGGGGAATCAGGGTAATAATAATTTTGTGTTGCGTGGTTTTAGGATGGAGAAATTTGTTTTTTTGTGGGGTTTTTTTTTTTGTGAAAGCCGTGCTTCCCTGATTTGCTTTTCCAACTTGTATGAAAGAAGAGTTCTGTTCTTACTAACTTGTTTTTGGAGGAATCTTTTAAGTAGCTCTATAAGTAGCAAGTCTTTCTGTAATAGCGAAAAGTAGCTGGTGTGTGTTGCATTGGACATTGGAGTACAATCCTCATTTTAGCCTTATGGTTAAATCTTTCCTACTTAGCCTTAACTCTACAGGAACATTTAATCATTTTAATAAACTAATTAAATGTCATCTAAATATTTAAAAATATCAAGCTAATGGCCATTATAGGATACACATTATGACCTTGCACTAGAGGCTGGTTACTTAAAATTTCTGTTAGACTCCATCTGAAGTTCTTAGTTTTAATTACTGGTGATACATAAATTACAAATTTATAAAGAATTTTGGAATGACAACTTGATAACTGGGCTTTCATTCCATTGTATTATAGTATATGGAAAGTGCATGGTTGAGCTGCATAACCTCCCTTGCAAACAAGCTTCTTGTCACATTAGTAGCTTCCATTTGGTTGTTTTGAACCTATCAGAGTTCTATACCTTGATATGTGGCACGATTTGATCAGCCATAGTCCTGCTGTTGCTTTTCTTTATATATTAAACAGATACGGCCTAATGGCTAATCAATAAAATGTTATTAATATTGCACTGTAGAAATGCTTTCCATAAAGTCATTATGTTTGTGGAAAATTAATAACTCATGGAAAAAAACAGAGGTAGGCCAGGATTCTATTGGCCATCAGTTACTCCTAGTCAGCCAAGAGGGAAGAACAATCTAGTTAAATCATTTCACACTCTTGTACCCCAAAATGCACAATAGTTTGAGCTGACCTATGGCAATTTGTAAAAATACATAGTAAACTTGTTTTGTTCCATGATCTCTGAAGCGTCAGTAACAATGACAGTTTGCTTTCTGAGTAAAATACAAAATGTGCAGTTCATGGACTCCAGAGCACCGCATCGAAACTAACTAGATCTAAGCTTGCTGTGTGATTGTGTTGAAAGAGTTACCTTTATAAGGTTCTTGAAATCAGTCTGTTAGTCCCGTATACAGCAAAAAGCTAATCTAAAGTGAAAAGATAAAGATGCTGACGTACCTAGCTGTTTTTGGTGTAGGAAAGCTTTTGCTAGATTGAAAAAGGTCTGGTTTCTGTCTATAGTTAAATTTGTGATACTCCAGGAGTTCGATTCTGAGTGGCTCAAGGTTGACTCAGCCTTCCATCCTTCCGAGGTCAGTAAAATGAGGACCCAGATTGTTGGGGGCAAGATGCTGACTTTGTAAACCGCTTGGGGAGGCCTGTAAAGCGGTATATAAATCTAAATGCTATTGCTATATTACTCCAGTGTTAATTCTTAGCAGGTATCTCTAGAGAGTTTCTGAAGTGCACTTCTTCTATGTAGAGTCCTGTGTAAGGACTACTTTTAGGAATAGCAGTATTGCTAAAACTACCATTTTTATATATACTTAATTGGCCCAATTTGGTTTTTACATGCTGTGGCCCAATTCCACAGTACAGTTAGTTCTCAACTTACAACCATTCTTAGCAGCCGTTCAAAATTACAAAGGCCCTGAAAAAAAGTGATTTATGGCCGTTTTTTCACGTGACCACTGCAGCATCCCCACAGTCACCTGACCCAAAATTTGGATGCTTGGCGACTGACTCGTCTTTACGTGATCATGTGATCAAACTTGGTGACTTGACCAAGCAGTTGATAGGGAAGCCAGATTCAACTAACAGCACTGCTGCTAACTTTTTAAGGAGTTATTCACCTAACAGCTGTGGGCAAGGAAGGTCATAAAATGGAGCAAAATTCACTTCCACACCTGCAACAAATTTGGGGCTCAGTTGTGGTCGTAAGTCGAGGACCACCTGTACAGTGGGCAACGTTACGCTTCCGGAAGCGGTGTTGGGAATTTTTGTTGCTCTGGTATGGCTTATGGAAGGCTTAATGTCCTTTCTTTTGTTGAGGTTTGCCCAGCCATGGAAGATCCTGGCCCTTTATAAAACCTTTGCAATAGCTGCCTATCTCCCCATATCTCTGCCCTTTTGGCTGCCCTGCATTCCGCTATCACCTACCTACCCCTATGGAGGACCATTGATTGGGCATGCTTTTGTCAGTGGGAGGATGTAGATGATGGTATAGGTCAGGGGTCTGCAACCTTAAACACTCAAAGAGCCATTTGGACCCGTTTCCCACAGAAAAGAAAACACCGGGAGCCACAAAAACCTTCCTGTGCCTGACTATTTCTTGAGCGGCCACAAAACTAGAATATGTAGTTGAATTAAACGTTCTGTTTTCTTCTAAAATTTTTCTTTTCTTGGATTTATCCATGGTTGGCCTACTGGAGGTTGAAAAGCTCAATAAATCGCGTGCCGGCAGGTGTCACATTGGTGGTTGTGATGCATATTTTGAGTGCCAGCGAGCCTCAGCACAGGGGTGAAAGAGCCACAAGTGGCTCCAGACCCCTGGTATAAGTCAGTTGGGAGCAGCGGGGCACAGTAGGGATAGGCAGTGGTACAGGTATCCTTGACTTAGGTTCTTTTAGTGACCATCTGAAGTTACAACGGCACTGAAAAAAGTGACTTGTAACCGTTTTTCACAGTTTACGACTGTTGCAGCATCCCCACAGTCCTGTGATCAAAATTCAGATGCTTGGCAACTGACTTATCTTTATGACGGTTTCAGCGGCCCGGAGTCAATGTGATCCCCTTTTGCGATCTTCTGACAAGCAAAGTCAATGGGGAAGCCAGATTCACTTAACAATCGTGTTGATAACTTTTAACAACTGCAGTGCTTCACTTAACAACTGTCTTGCTTCGTAACAAATTTTGGACTGCATTGTGGTCGTAAGTTGAGGATTAGCAGTAGTGGAGTTCAAGGCAGCCAAAAGGGCAGAGGCGGGTAGATAAAGGGGGGCGGGAAGGGCAGTTGAAGCAGAAGCGAGTGTAGCAGGGCAGGAGAAATGTGAGGTCCTCACTTAATGACTAATGTTGCTAGGTGGAGTTTTTCCTAACAATCGCTTCCCCTGGCAATGGAAATCCTTCTCCCAATCTCTAAACAAGGACTATTTGTGATAGTTAGGCCTTGTCTGCATTGTCAGGTGCAATAATACAATAATAACATAGCTAATAATACATTTGACCCTTCAGTAATAATCTCTTCAATTTACAATGACTTT